TTTTTTTTAAAAAAAAAAAAAAAAACTAGCAAATGACACACTGTAGAAATATACTTACTTTATCAGGGTAGTAGTCAGTGTTTGGTAAAATTTGAGCTACATAAGGTGATTTTGGAATGTCTTCATTATCACAAAGAATGTGAACTGCGTATTCTCCGGGCGCAGTTGGATAATACCTAACATCAGCAGAGCCATCACCGTTGTCGTGACAGTCGATTTTGGCTTGTGATGGTCCTTCAATACTAAAACCTGGAAAAATATATTATAATCATAACAGAGGAAGAATCAGACTCACCCTTGGCATTAAATTTTTAAAAGAAAATACACAAAACTGGCAATTAGCCAGATACGGTGTTATCTGGATCAAAATGGCTGATCAATAATGACCGGGAGACCGGTTGAAACGTCCCATGTTTTGTAAATTATTGTGTTTTTTCAGCCTTGTCTCCACATTTTCTTGTCCTATTTTGTCATATATAGTTGAAAATTATATTTATTACTCCATCGATCATGCCGATTGTTTCCTAATACATACCATGCACATCCATATTGGACATGCTCATAAAGAAAGGAACTGTTTGCTAACAATTTAAATCAAAAGAAACTAAGAGGCACTCAAATAATATGTTCACAATTTCTTTTGATATAATTCATTTATACAAAGATCCCTTCAGTATGATTAAGCCAAATTCATCTCTAGAATTTTTGGTTTTTTACAGTTTCAATGAACTGTCTATTCATGGTTGGAGCCACTGGATTTATTTGCAGGAGAGTGGGGCAAAGCACAACCTTTCCTTTGGTAATATGATTTTCCCTGCAGTTTCAGAAATTTTTTTTCTGATTTGTTGGATGTGATATTTATAGTGGGAAGCCACCACTTTTGTCAGACCTTCAATATTGTATGCATCTTCCAATTACTCCTTCCATGCTGAACATAAGTATTAGCAGAGCCATTGAGATTAATGTTGAGCTACTCTGGCAAATATTTCTGTGTTCAGCGTTTTATTCATATGCATATGAAAATAAAAGGCAATCTTACCTAGAGCACCAGTTTCACCATTGGTTTCAACAGTGAACAAAGCAGGGTACGCAACAACACCTCCAACAAGTCCTGGACCGTAAGCTCGGATTTGTGTCTCTTTGTACGGACCAACATTCACTTCAAACGGTGATTTGCCAATTTCCGTACCACCATAAGTGATCATTATCACATATCGTCCTTCCTTGCGTGGGAAATAAACCACATTGTAGTTATGCTTGTCTACTTCCGTGAATTTGAATGGCTCTTTGACTCCACCTGGAAATATTGATACAATTATTAAGTATGCAGGTATCTTTCTAAAACATGAAAACCTATGAGTACTAGAACAACAGAAAAAAATGTCAAAGTTGTAAAAAATGTAGGTAATATTCTTAAAAGAGTAAAGCTGTGGATCCAGAGTAAAGAAAATATTTATCTTGCTCTGAATATTTGCGATTAAAATGAGAAAAATCTGCGAATTCAGGGAGAAATAAATTTTTGGGCATTACTCATGTGTTCCAGAATATATAGCATCTGTATACAGATGATGATTTGCCTGTTTGTGAGGAATCGTCAGGTTTTTAGAACATACTAGAATCCCACAATAGGTAACCATATGGTTTAGTAGCTCTGTTAAATTACTGAAAGAAGTATAAAATGAAATTTCAAGAGTAGACTTTCAATTACTCCTGACAGGGTGTACAAAAACATAACATTCCATTGCAGCTTCTTCACAATATCAAAATCTTCTCAATTTTTTTCTTTCTCTATGTGTCTTTGGTGAGTTATGGATTGCAATAGTGAAAATATTTTATTATATTAGCATGATAACACAATTCTCACCAGGTCCGATAATTTGAACCTCAGGTTTGCCTTCTCCAGCTCCTTCCGTGACTATCCTGAAATCAGCTTCATCTTTGACACGCACTCCAGTTGGTTGTAATCCTCTTCCATACGCTCTAACTTTCTTTGCATCAGAGGCTGCAAACAATAATAGTTGGTCAGATTAATGATTTTGTTATTAAAACAAGAATAAAATAAGAAAAGAAAGAAGAAGAAACAATGCACAAAGATACAGCGCATACAACTTAAAAAAATACAAAATAGTTCTTCTTTTCAGTAGAAATTTTGCTTTTGATCAAGGACAAGTCTTATCTCAAATAAGTACTGTTCCCTTTTTTCATGATCATTTGCATAATTTTGTAAATAGTTAAATTGATGACAGTTTTTGCTATTTCAAGAAGTACGTGTTTGAAGTTTCGAAATTACATGGATTCTTATGGAGGAAAGAAAGTTCAAACTGACTTTTTGATGGTAAAAAATTGGAATTTGGCGGTGAAATTTTTACAGGATATGACGACTAGTTTTACTTGAGATGATTAATATCTCAATACTTTCAAAAACTGCACTTATACGCCTTGTCCTCCAAGCCCCTCAAATATACTTTAAAATATTTAATTTGAATGACCAATTTCATGCATAAGGATACATAATATTATGATAAGTTCCTAAAAATGATTAGGTAAGTATGAAATAAAAAATGGAACTAGAAAAATGGGATTACATACCGGGTGAAATTCTGACGCCATATGGACTAGATGGTATAGGTAGACCAGCAAAAAATATATTTATTGTGTGGACGCCCAGGGTTGAAGCTACATACTCACACCTCCATGTTTCAGTTGAGGTTTGCTTTAGTTTTACAGGTACCGAGTTTTTGCCAGCAGCATCGACAATGACAACTTCTGGAGTGCCAGTTCCAGCATCTAAAGATAAAATCAGTCCAAGTATTAGAACATGTTTTTGAGAAGCTATTATAATTTTTGGTTACTCAATGGTTTTAAAGAAAAATTCAAACCCACGGACAAATTATCAAGGCACAGCCTCCCTTGAAACATAGATATGAACTGAAACTCCTCCAAACACAGTCAATTGTAGTTTCAAGCAATTCTCACAATGTCTCTCAGACAAGCAATTCAACTGAAGTTATTAAACCAACGGTTAGAATTTATACATGCTGAGAAGTCTATTGCAATAACATTCAATGTGCCGGTTAAGTCGAGTAGATTATTGTTTTTTCTATGACCGGGAGGTTAGAATTTAAGCATCAATAAAATGTCAATATCTTCATTAGGAGCTACTTTTACTAATTTTTGCTGTACAAATCGTGTGCTGCGTGAAATTTTGATGAGACAGCATACATCATGATGCTTCAATGCGCACTTTGTCTAGTTGTCCATTGAAATCAAAGCACTACAAAAATAAATACGATTAATACAATTCATAATAAATGAATGAATCCAACTTCAGATGAAGGTGGTTGTTTCTGCAGAGCATGGGATTAGAGGTGTATTACACTGGCTAAAGTGTGAAACCATGTACCTCATTTTGCGCTGTTGCAGCGTTCCCGTCAAACTTCAATTTTTCTTTGAAAAACTATTCAACATGATTTCTTGAAAATTGCCTTGATTTTTCTTCTATATTAACATAATATTCTGTGTAAGTTTCAAGCGATGAATTGGGCTTCTTTCTCTTCAATCGAATAAAATAGGACCGGATATTTTGAAACATCGCAATCGATCGAGATACATGGTTTTGCATTTTGGCCATTGATGAGAGCTTACCTTTTGTTGAGATATCAAAGTAAGTGGGTTTGTTGATAATGTTGCCTTCTGGTAACAATCCAGGACCAGAAGCTGTTACTTTGGTGGGGTCTCCAACATGGCCTTCGACTAAGACTGCAAACGGTGATTTTGGAATTTCTTTTTCTGCAAACTTAACTTGAACCTTGTGAGGTCCTTCTAATTTTGGCGTATAAGAAACAGTATACGTTTGATTCCTATCATTATTATATTTGATATCAACCTAGAAAAGACAAATCAAATTTTCATGCTTTTACATTTGTTAAAGAGAAATTCAATTGATGAAATAAAAGAAGTTTTTCTTTGAATTTAAATTTTTAGTCGGTAGATGACCAATTTTTATTTTAAATTTGTAAAGCAAGCAAGACGTGCTTTCTTCTTGTACAGACATTCAAAATACGTGCATTTACATTTTACTTCTTACAATAAATTGCTATGGATAAAATGTTCAATATGTTGAGACAAAGACAGTTTGCAGTACTAGAATCTAATTATCTGATTCAACAATACAATATTTTTGGAGAGCTATACTAGTAAAAGTAGTCAGAAATGCTGATTTATGAATTTATGTTGTGAAAAATGATTACAGCTGAATTTATCATATAAAATCAAATCAGAGACTTCAGCAGAGCTTCTGAAAGTAATTGACATTCTTTTTTTTCTTTCTCCGCCCTTTCAAATTAACCCTCATTCTTGAGAAAATATAAGTACTTACTGGTTCTAATTTTCCTTTAGGATTAGTTACAGCTACTTGCACAGACCCTTTGCCTGCAGAGAATGTCTCGACTGTGAATACAGCTGGGGCTCCTACAACTGGTCCTGTTGGTTGAATTCCAGGACCATATGCTCTAACTCTGAAATTAGTAATAATTAAAACATTTATGAACAATAATTATGTACATACTTATTTTTGCAGTCAGATTTCTTGGGAGATGGAAAAATTGCAAACACAGATGGTAAGGCAAAAAATTGCCAAAAACATGAGTTGACAATAGAAATAAATTATTCAATTAAAGTTGACTCAAACTGTAAAAATCTTAAGTAAACCTTTTTTTTATTTTTTACAATCCAATTACAAGAGTAGATGTGTACGTTAAAAAATAAATACTGTATGCTGGTCAGCAGAGTGATTTATTTAAATATTCTGTTCTAATATTTATATATCTTACCGGTTAGGGTTAGTTCGTGGCCTAAGTGGAGCATTAGCCTTCAGTTTTGCATTTGGATATTGTGAGAGGTAGGTCATCATGGATAGCTCATCCATGTTAGGGTTGACTAATTCTTCAGGTTTGATTAGCTGAAAACAAAAGATAAAATAGGTAATTAAAATAAAAATTTTAGCTTACAATTTTGGAGGGCTAAGTTCTTTAAGGTAGACTCAAGGAATTTTTCAATAAATACCAAATACACTTCGTCTTACAATATATTTTCAGTTCTAGATAAACTTTCTTAGAAATCTAATCTCAGGTAAAAGTATATTTTTTCAAAGGTGCATTGAAATCACAGTATATCAAAATTAAAGCAAAAGTAAGGTTGAAATAATTGCAGTAATCTACACAATCTATCTATCAAACAACAGGGCATTTTCCTGCAACATACCTTACTTGCTTTCTTTTTTCTGTAAGTTCTACTTAGCAGACCATACTGCTGTCAAGCAAAACTCAGGCAAAAATGAAAAATAAAATTTCACGTAAGACTTTGATAACTCCTATTGTATATTCCTCCTTCAGTAAAAAGAGGTTTCTTCGGTAATAGTGTGCTCCCTATCATTTTGGAAGGTAAGAAACAAAAGGAAAATTAGTTTAAGGGTACCTATCTCCTACTTTTCACTCACCTGTTTGACATCCAGCCAATTATCGGCCAAATCCATAGCCTCCTTGGCGTTTTGTAAAGCATCTTCCGGACTCCAGTCTTGCCAATCAGGACATAAACCTGTTAAAAAGAACAATAGGTAATTAAATGAGAGAAACTTTTCTTTCAATAATATGATTGAAACCTTCAGATTTTAACAAGCTTTAGTAATAAAGTAACAGCAGCTTTATTACTTGACAAACTTAAGCTCAATTCACACGATTTAACTTTTCTTCCAATACAAAAGGACAAAAAGTCAATGGGGAAGTTGAACCACATCAATTTGATTTTACTTTACATTTATTACAATACTTAAAAATGATTTCTACATGCTAAGAGCCAAGAATGATAATTGTTGGTTTATTCTCTTGTCACCTATGATTGAAACTGTTTAATTTAGAGTGATACGGAACTCAACTATGATATAATTTGCAAGGAAATCAAGAGAGTTGTAAATGCATACCTGGGGCCACAGCATCAACCAGAGCTCCAACTGCTCGTCCATCGTTCCAGTCGTTTGTGAAGTTTGTGATAGGAAGATCTGGAATTTTGCTTTGAATCCAACCAAGCAACCTAAAGAGCAAAAAAAAATTGTAATTAATCTTGCGTCAAGTTAAAATGAATTGAACATTGTTTAACACAACAAATTTACCTACACATAATTAGCAATAGGTACCTACTTTTTGTGACCTGACGTAAAAAAGTCAAACAGTAGAAAAAGACAGAGGTAAGATGGTGCAAGTAATGCCTGGGTGAACTGCTTACTTAAATTGAAATGAGATTTAAAATGACTTTTACTTACAGCACCTTCAAAATTAAGATGCTAGTGCTCTATAAGATCTTAGATAACTTGCGCTCCAGGGCTACTTTGGGTAAAAACAATGTTCCTAGCCCAATTTAAGAGCGTTAGTGTGTGAACACACCAGTTTCGTAAATAGGTAAGTAACCCCTATCAATGGGGGATTTCAGAAATGATCAAATCTATGCGTACAATATTGCAGATTCTTCCCTGAACTTAAATTTCTATTAATGGAAAACTATGTGCCTGAGTAGAAAACTGTTTCATGAGAGATTCTGTAATTCCTCTCTTTCAAAGAATACAATCGTAAATGGATATTTTATAGCAATATCAATTTTTTCCATGGAGAAACAAAATCTGCACGTAAATTTTGAATTATGGTTGAGATTTGTACTTCAGCAGTTCAGCTATCATTATATCCTTTCACGTCACGGTAAAAGTCTACAGATTGGAAGGGGTCACTAGTCAAGGCGTGAATGGAAGCACTTGTTCTGTCTTTACTCTTCAAAATTCTTGTAGCCGAATTATGATTGTTTCTTGAATTTACTTTCAATGCTAAGCTGAGGACAGCTGATCTTCTGTCACACTCAAGAAGTGCAACTTGTTTGGCAGGAAATTTTCATTTGGAAGAGAAAACAGGCAACTGAGTGCTTTGGTTACAAGCTTGTCTACTTTCCCATTAAGAGACCGATTTCAATGTGTGTTGACAATAACCTATAGTCCGCACCACGAAAAGTGGCGGAGCCAGTCGGCCAGTCCATTCTATTGTTGAAGGGTTGACGCACAGATATTGGCCCGTAGTTGAGCAAAGCCTGTGACGACTGGGCCAATACCTGCGCTTCAACCCTTCAATAATAGGACTGGACCGGTCGACTGGCTCCGCCCCTCACCCACCACTTTTAGTGGCATGGACTATAATTTGTATGGACAGCAAGTTATCATAAATAATGTGATGCCTAGGCTCATAGATATTAGAAAAAATATCTAGTTTTAGGTATGCATTACGTGGAGGTCCAACTCAGGATTTAGACATATCATTGATGGGAGCATTGCGCATGTATGTGGAAAGTAAATGATGTGATGCTCAAACATGTTTAATCAGTGATAAAAATGTGTCATTACTTACAGTGCCTTCACAACCCACGTATTTAATTTGAGTAGCACACAAAAATGTCCAACACTGTTTACTGGTCAGGTCATCTTAATAATGCTTTTCAGCTGATTACACTGATACGGCATGTTTTGGACATGCGGCTGAACATGTAAATATAAACAAATTAACAAATCACGCAATATCTGTCTGTCCCCAAAAGATCAACAATCAACTTTATTTGATATTTGGTGATTACTTTGATGGACCAATCAGCGCTTCTCCCGCGCGCGGGAATTAGAGACATTTTGATGAACCAATTGGCGCTCTTCCCGCGCGCGGAAAATTAGGAGCATTTCAAAATTGCCCGCGAATATTTAAATTAGCGCGTCTGCCACCAAGCGAGCGCTGCTCAACTAGGGGAACTATTAGGTAACTTGGCGTTGCGCGTTTAACTGTTGTTTTTACTTTGGCTGCTACTGATACTTTTGCCCCGTTCTGAAAAGGAACACACTTTGTATTCTTACTGCGTGCATGGGCGGAGGTAGAGGGGAAATCCCCCCCCCCCCCCCGCAGGAGAGAAACTGCTAAGCCCATTCAATGAAATGTGTGGGATTTTGCTGAGTAAACGCGTTACACATTTTACATCCTTGAAATTGTAATTGGATCAACTTTCCGGCGGGAACAGCTAAACATTGATCATGAAACGACTCAATTTTTCAAAATTTGTCGGAGTAGGCCCCCGGACCCCCTTTTCCTGCAAGGGAAATCTCCGAACCCTCCTTTGGAACTGGGGAAGTACTGAAAATCCTCCTTGATGTAGTATCTTTATTTGTACTACCTACGCCGTTCCCGACCCCTTTGATAAGGTACCCCTCTGTCCCCTACGAAATTCCTAGTTCCACCCATGACTGTGCGTCTGTTATTCTGTCGAGTTCGCCTTCAATAAGCGAGAAGGCAATTTGAGCGACTTGGGAGCACAAATGATTGCATGCAGTAGTTTTGCAATTTTTGCTCAGTCCGTCCACATGCGCATCGATAACCCTCCTTACTGCATGCATGAGCGGAAATAGAAGCGCTACCCCCCCCCCCCCCCCCCGAAATTCCAATATATGAAAAGCACCTTAAGCAACAAAGGTCTTATAACTGGAACGCCATGGAATGAAGGACTCATGTAAATATCTTTGTAGGCATTGAAGAAGGGAAGGATGTATATAACTTGAGGATACCTTTGTTTTGGTGTAGGTCCGTGATTCCTGTCGCCATTTTGTACAATTTCTTCTCCATCCCACATGGGCATTGATATAGAGTAGTGCAGAATTAAAGTCCATATTAATCCAAGAATTAGTTTCAATTTACAATCTACGATATCACTGGAATCTGGAACATAAGAAAAATTAGAATAATTTTAGAACTTAAACACATGTATTTGATGTCAGATAATTGAAAAAAATTAGTGAAAAGCAGATCAGGGTAAGAAATAAGGCATCATGCTACATATTCTCTCAGCAAAATTCTCCATTAAATTGTCAGAACTTTTTACTTAAAGGGATATAGAGGGGGAATTGGCGTCGCGGAAGTTTGAAGGGGCGACTTCCTGCCTGGCCGTCAGCGGAGACCGTATGTCCCAGTTCCGACATTCAGGTCCCCATCATTCTGGAATAATAGCAACCGTGACCGAGACTGACCAAAGCAAGACCTGGCAAATCGTGGCGCGGGCGACCAACCAACCACAACCAAATTTGGACTTGACCTTAACCACAACGAGCACGACATATGTCAGGCTTGAACGTCTTAGCGCATGATTTCAGTAGCTGCGCCCATCCGACACGGGCATTCTTCGCGCCCGTTTAGGCCCAATTATACATTCGCGATTTCGAGGGCTTGAGAGGCTAGACAGTGAATCATACGTCCGAAGTTTTGGTGGACTCAGAATGGAGGATGCGCCAATTTCGGGGACAAGAATCCGAATTTGCGAGGGCATTTGAATAATTCTCCAGGTTCAAGAGCGTGTGGATGGTACCTCGGCATTCTTTCTGCTTCCTTTACGGCGTAAAAATTGTCGCACCAAATATCTTCCGTGCTCGAGCGGATCAAAAAGTAAGTTTCCGTATGCTGTATTTGCGTTAGTTCTTGGACATTTTGGAATAGTTTTAACCGAAACAAGCTGAAAGCTCTTTAAAAATTCTGGACTACTGCTATTTTTGGGATGATCAAAACCACATAAGCTACTGCTGGTGACTCTTGACGTGCCCTGAAATGACAAAATAGTTTAGAATATGGCTTGATATTTGCTTATCTGCAACGTTTGAAATAGATTAATACAATTTGTAGATGTGTGCTATTTGTTTTAATTTGTATTCTATATATAATATTATGGGTTCTATAAATGAGATTTCACGCGAGGGAAAGCAATAGTTCATACAAAACACATAAGATTAATAATTGGGGAGTTTTTTAGATGGTCAGAAAATAAAAGGTCTCTACGTTTGGATTACGGGCTGAAAACACTCCTGAGAGAGGGTAGAGGAGATTTTTCACTTTGTCGGCTGCCATACTTTGGTTTTATAATCACTTTTTTGAGGTCCGATGTTTCTGTGTGTGGTGGTTACACGATGACCATACCCACACATAGTTTGTCATCAGATGTAGATATTCTCACAAGGATTAGCAAGTTGACTACACAACATTAAAAAAACCGGAGGAAAAATATTCAGAAATATTACCGGACTGGATGTACTTCGTTGTATTGTTAGTTGACACAAAAAAAGTCATAACGAAGCATATCCAGTCGGTAATATTTCTGAATAATAATCCTCGTTAGTAATTAGTGATCGGAAGTATGCATACTGTACAGTTCTCTCGTTTTTTAGTGTGTCATAATTGACGTGCGAATATTCGAAAGAATATTTACACCTGATGATGAACTAAAGCTCAAATTGGTCATCGTATTCCCACCATACACAGAAGCAAAGGACCGGGCCTCAAAAAAGTAAGTACAAAACAAAACCTCTGAAATAGTTCAACTCCAGAAGTATCGTCCGGCCGAATGCCATCACCTTGCAAGTTATTTTGCATCTTCCTCAATTGAAGGCGTGTCAGTGTCAGATTCTTTTCAATGGGTTTAAATAGCAGATCAATCGATCCATCGCAAATCACGCCACGCAACTGCAGCTTTTGCTCTGCTAGCCTCGCTCTACTTTCTAAAAAGGTTCCAAGTTCGTTTCAGAAAATGATGTATTAAAAGTGCGTGATCTTACAAGAGAACCCAACAGTTACCTTCTGCGGGCTGATTGTTGAAATTGATAGACAAAGCTATGGACAAAGAAGACAAACATTATATGTATAGATGGATCCTGTTGGTAGAAGCGGGTGGTTGAAATGAATAAAAGAGGTAGGTAATAAACTAACGAACGGCAACTCACGAGAGATTCTTTAGTTAGTCGATCATTTTCTCCCCTGGTCTACAACAGCCACCCAAACTAACCAATAGGATCGCTCCATACTCATAATGTCTATCAATTTAAACAATCAGCCAGCACTGGTTGGTCATAATTTCACATTGCTAAGAAGCAAAGGTTTTCACACCAGAGGTACCGTGGCTCTTTAAATGGCAATGGCGCCGTGCGTCAAAACTTCTAGCACCTACTCTAGGAGTCTAGGAGTTTGGTGCGTGTGCATGGGCCGTTCAGGTGCCTCGTTCGGTGCATGACATGAGACAGCATCACGTGCGGACGTACCCTCGCGTCGCCCTGGGCGGACGCGTGGCGCCCGTTTAATTCACGCGCCGCCGACGCCGCAGGTGACAATGAAAAGACTCAACTGAACTTTGACTCGGGAGACAGCCTCTCTATTCGCCTCCTCGCGTCTCACAGATGACACAGACAGGTGAGGTGATCCGTCTGGGCACACTCCTTCTTAGTTTAGGGATGGTCAGGACGTGAGGAGTTAAACACTGGAAAACAATCCGTTAATGCAGATAGGAAAAGTCCATGGAGGTTAAAAAGAGGTGGTCCAGAGACTAGAGAACCTTGGCCGCTTGGTGATAGGTGAAAACTTTCTCTATCGGAGATTCTGCACTTCCTTATAGGTCTCGATATATACACGCCCGAACCAATCACCATCGAAGTTTCGGGAGTCACCAGTCCTAAAATCATTAATTTGACTAGTTTTAAAATGAAAACTTGGCAGAAATGTTTCGTGCGGCAAGAAATGATGAATGGTAGCACTCCATTCTGACCAAAATTTGACGGCCTGTCTAATTTAAATCAAAGAGGACTGTTGCATGGTGACCATCAGTGATTAACTGGTCTACTTTGGTTAGAATTGATTTGGAACTTGATCTTGTATCCAGACCTTATGGAAAATTGTATGGGAGCAACAGTAATCCGACCTACTACTGTAATCCTACAGACGGATGGATTGAATGCAAGCTATTCCACGAACTCTTGTAGTGCCATCGATGGAAATCAGTCGATACATATCGATTATTCGATGCCCGAATGTGAGGTTAGACTAAAACGGTTTATTTTGTTTGTCGGAGAGCGCCACTTGGCAGCACGGCTCTACACACGGGTCGGCGTAGACGAGTGAATTTTTTTCCGGTGACTGCCCTCGCGTCGCGCACACTTCTGGTCTACCTGCCCCC